GGGTTTTTAGCGAATTTGTATTCTTTTAAGAGGTATTGATATTCTGGATTTTCAGTTGCTTTTTGTTTCATTCTTTTGGATAATTTGTTTTTGGCAGAACATATTATGTATTGGTTATCAATATGTGGTTCTTTATTTAATAAGTTTGGGTTAATACATTTGAAGTAATTAATACTATTGATATTATTATCTGTTTGGATCATATGTATATGTTCTCTAGTATAACCATTTGATTTGTTATAAGAGGATTGGTCCTGAACACTAGGCAGGTCCTCTTTTAAAAATAATATTTTCTTTGATCATTTGAGGTTGAAGCTTGTGGTTCTTCACCTTCATCTTCTTGGTAATGGTTTACATTCTTGTTGTAAAAGTTTTTCTTTTGGTTATTTCCTTTTTCTTTAGTGGTACTGGTGGTTTTCATATTGTTTACCCTCTTGTTTCTAAAATTGTTGTTTCCTCGTGAATTATTTCTGAATTGAACATTTCTTGTTCTTTGTCCACTAAATCTTCGATTATTGTTATTAGATCGGTTATTGTTATTTGTTCTGAAAGGTCTTCCTTTTTGGAATTTTCCTTTCCCTCCTCTGAATGATGTTCTATTGTTGTTTCTTTGTGTTTGGAATCTTTTTGGTTGGAATCTGTTGAATGATTCCCTTTTAGTATTTTGACAATCTCTTTTATAGTGTCTGTATTCTTCACAATTATAACATTTTACTTTGGACATATCTCTTGGTTGGTATGGTTTTCTTGTTTGTTGATAGTTATTTCCTTGATAATTTCTTATCTTGATTTTGGTTCCTGATTTTCAAAAGTTATTTGCTTTAAAGTGTTTAATGTCTTTTCCACTGAATGCACTTTCGTTCGCTAATGCTCTTTTGTTATAGAATGTTGTATTTAAGTATGTGAAGAATTCTTCATAGGTCTTTGGTTGTCTGAATAATACTTCAGTTCGATATTGTAATGGTACTCTGTCAAGCAAGTGTGCTTGTTTTCCTTGATAGAAGTTATTTGCAAATTGGTAGTTTGAAAGTTGTTTTAACTTTTCGTATTTTGCTTTAAAGTTTTGTACACTTTGTCCGTCAGATAGGTCTGGTGTCCATTTGTATTTGAGGAAATTTTGTTGGTGAATTAACCTCAATTCACCCGATATGTATTGATTGTCAAATAATTCTCTGAATGAAACTTGTGTTTGATTTACAGTATTTCTGTCAAATGTTGGTGTCATTAATGCTGCTGATGCTGTTGCGGTTGCATCAAATGCTAGTGCTCCATAGTCTATCGCTTGTTCTAATGGGTAATTATGTGAGTCTTTTAGATTTACATTATCTGCTCAATTTTTGTAATAACAATTTATTCTTGCTGAGTTGCTATTATATAGTGCTTCTGCTGATCCTTTTAATTTTGACGCTACTATTGCTAATACTCTTTGTATGAATTCACAGTTGAATATTGCTTTGTGGTGTGTGTCATCTGCTCCTGTTCCTTGATAGTTTCCTGCTCTCTTTATATATCCGTCTCTTTCATTTCCTGAATATCTTCCAAATGATGCTACTCGCATTATTCCTGATGCGGTAAATATATTTTCTAATTTGTTTCTCCATTCAATATAGTTTTCTACTTTGCCATCAAATTCTGGTATTGCTGTATATAGATTATTGATTTTTGGCCATGCTACGTATGTATGTGGGTCTGCCATCTTTTTATGTTGTTGACTGTATTGCGTATGTTATTAGTTGTTCTATCGTCTCTTTTGGTTTTCTTGAATGTTCTATTGCTTGGTTATATGTTCGATAATCTTCTAATATGTATGAGTATAGTATTAGGCAAGCTGTTTCTTCTTCGGTTAAGGTTATTATTATGTTTTGTTGTATTTCTTCAGGGTAGGTCACTTCTTTGGTAAGTGTTCTTTGTTTTTCGTCTACCCAGATTCTTGCTTTTCCTCTTTTTATTACTTCAGTTGTTATTTGTCTGTTTTGTCTGTTGTTTTCTAATTTATATTTTAATTCTTCTTTACTTTTTCGTAATTGCTGTATTTCTATATTTGATAGTGGTCTTTTCTTTGGAAAGTTACTAAAGTATAATATGAATGTTTGGTAGTATATTCCGTTTCCGTAGAAGATTTGGTTCATGTATTGATTTGGTTATTGTTAAGTCCTTTTTCTAGGATTACTTTTTTGATTCCTTGTATCAGATCTTTTTTGTTATACTTATATGCTAGTTTTTGTAGTTTGAATAGATTTGTAACTGTAATAGTTCCTAATTTGAATTGTTTAGTCCAATCGTCTAATAAATATAAGTCGATTTTGGTTGGTACTTGTGTTGTTATTTTGTTATC